TATATATATATATATATATATATATATGTCCGCAACAATGCTGGCGTTTTGACGAGACAAGATGTAGCAAATACATCCACTATGCACACTAGACTGCAACAGACAGTAGCGCTTACCCGAGAGGTGTCTTCTCTGAGTTGATTCGGCAACCTGCGGTCGATGTCACCCCATCCAGTGATCAGGGCCAGGCAGTAAAGCACCATGCGCGTTACCAAGGCAACGGACAAAACCATGACAACAGTCAAGCACAGCAGGAACACGAGATTGGACAGCCACGCATGCTTGCGGCCCAGTTCACGTTCGAGATATCTATTTATAGTTAAGTGGGAAAGGTTGCATTAGCCAACACAACGCCAAACGTCACACGCACTCACAAACACCTGACGCAGTGGTAGGTAGAAGTACATGAAAACAACAGCACAGACGTATGTTATACAGGATACTGGACATGCACATATGCCACTCAAATAGCCTGAGTCTACGCCACCAGAAGACTCCGCACAACACATGTGGCACGCTTGCAGCTGGTAGGTAAGGAAGGAAGATACAGTAACTGACATACTTTACAAGGGTAATAGCAAAATACAGTAACTGACATACTTTACAAGGGTAATAGCAACATACAGTAACTGACATACTTTACAAGGGTAATAGCAACATATAGTAACTGACATACTTTACAAGGGTAATAGCAACATACAGTAACTGACATACTTTATAAGGGTAATAGCAACATACAGTAACTGACATACTTTGCAAGGGTAATAGCAACATACAGTAACTGACATACTTTATAAGGGTAATAGCAACATACAGTAACTGACATACTTTATAAGGGTATTAGGAACATACAGTAGCTGACATACTCGATTCAGTTAATAGCTACACACAGTAACTGACATACTCAATGCGGGTATTGGTAAGTAGCAGCATGGACTCTAGTAGAGCTTTCTTCTGTGGTACCTCAGAGCACTCTATCTTTCGTTCCAGTGAGTTGCGCTCGAATAGAAGAGCCTCTAAGTGCGGCTGAGATATTCGGGTGACTCTACTGGCACGTAGGTGATAGGCATACTCGATGACTTTCAGCACCCCTCCAGGCACACACCTGAGTGGGTGGTAGGGGGGGGGGAAGGATACGCAACAGGTCGGTTGACATGGCAACGAGGTTTAGGATTATGTCACACAGCGTCCACGTACCCAGTGGTGTGGTCTTTTGGGGTGAGTACTCATACAAAGGTAGTGGTATAAGTTGGCAAGTTATTAATCTCAAGTTATTAATCTGTATGGTTATGTTTGTTGCAAAGTCTTATGGGCTGCAGACCAAACCATGAAGGCTACACCTTCTCTAGTTACTGGATATATATCAAGAACACGCGTAAATGTGACAAAGCAACCTACGACATTGAGCGCATTAATCGAGTCAGGGTTATATGGCTCTACATATGCACAAAAGTAGCAAGGACATTGTTTAGCGTGTATGTTTTCACACCGACACTACTATATAGCCTCAGAAGGTGAGATGCCATAGATGATTAAATCCTATATATATGCCTATA